AAAAACAAGCCAAAGGGGCACCTGGGTGGCTCAGGCGGCTAAGTGTCGACTCTTGATTTCAGCTCAGGTCATGATCTCACAGTGGGTCTTGAAATTGAGCCCCCTGTCAGGTTCCAAGATGAGTCTGGAGTCTGCTTGGGATTCTCTCTCTCTCCCTCTCTCTCTATGCCCCTCCCCCACTCATGTGCTTGTGCTCTCTCTGTCTCTCTTTCTCTCTCTCTCAAAATAAACATAAAAAAAAAAAACTTAAAAGAAAAAGCAAGCCAAACTTGGACCTGGCCAAACCCCCAACTAAGTCCTTCACTGTTTCTATATCTTCCTGCCTCCTTGGTTAAAAAGGAGAGAAGCGTTATGAAAAGTGACAATGTGAAAAAAGAATGCCTTCTAGAAATGTGGCACATCCCACATTTCAAAACCTGGCTCCACCATCTGCTGGCTGTGTCACTTTGTAAAGGGTGAATGGTTAGCCACTTTTTAGATTTTTTCTGATTTATATACAAATTTACTCTTTTTTTCCCAATTTACTCTTAATAGGGATTTTTGAGCCAATTTGTAGCTACAGAGAAATCTTCAGCCGTCTTATCAACTTTGCACACCCCTGTAAAGGAAACAGGCTAAGGACTCCCATGCCCAGTCGGCAGAGTGAGAAACAGCCAGTGGGAGCAGTTCAGCCAGAGTACAAACCACCATGGGTCCGTAGGTGAGCCCCAGCAGTGCATTCTGGGATCGCCACTACTTGCACGCATCCTCCACAGGTCCCGGCATGTTGTGACAGAAGCCAGCACTACTCAAAAGTGAATTTCACTTTTGCAGAGAAAGGGACGTAATAGTCAGACTCAGTCTCTTCAAACTATCTGTCAGGTATAGAAGAGCCACTGTAGACACTTGGGTCCCATAAACGCTCTGCCTGGAGACCTGTCGAATAGCTTTACACTTTAGTTTGTGGCTTAGATTCAAGGACAGTTTATCCCCTCGTGCAGATGAGAATGTCAGACAGCTCACCTTCACCCCTGTCCCCTGAATCCGTGGGCACACTTAATCCCACCAAGTCAAATGCAAAGTTGCAATCGTATCAACGGGGGAGGGGGAGATGAACTGGAGAAAAGAAAAACTTTGAAAATAAGGATTAATGTTGCCAGGTTGCAATCTCCAAATCCTCCGCTCCCCACACTCCACCCGCCGCCCCAGCTGCCTCCAGCTGGGCTCCTCCTTGCTTCATGATATCCCTGCGTGTGGCCAGTGCCCGGCTCCGAGGAGGCACGCACTCTTCTCTGGAGAATACGCAATACACAGCCGTCTGTTGAGCACTTAGGCTCCGCGTGGGGACCTCATCCTCATGCTAGCTCGGCGGCATAGGCAGTCTTCCCACTTAACAAATGATAACATCAAGACTCAGGAAGGTTGGGGGCATGTGGGTGGCTCAGTGCTGAAGCGCCCGACTTCAGCTCAGGTCAGAATCTCCCAGTTTGTGAGTTCAAGCCCCACATCGGGCCCTGTGCTGACAGCTCAGAGCCTGGAGACTGCTTTGGATTCTGTGTCTCCCTCACTCTGCTCCTCCCCAACTCATGCTCTGTCTCTCTTTCTTAAAGAATGAATAAACATTTTTAAAAAAATTTTACGACTCGTTAAAACATACCCAAGGATGCTCTCACAGCATCTAAATCACAGACAAGGCTAGCAAGGGAGAAGGAAGCAGACCCCCAACCTCCTGATGTTAAAGTTCAGGGTGACTGAGTCAAAGATTCAAATCTTTGAGTCGTCGTGGAAAAACGGAGCGCGGCTCTTACTGTAACCTTGCAACAATAATCACCCTCACTCAGCAGTGCTTCCTATCGGCCAGGCATCAGTCTACATAGTTTACATATGTTACATATCTAATCCTCACAACACCGCAGTTGACAAGGTATATGAGTCTTGTCCCCCATTTTACAGAGGAGGAAACTAAGGTATATAAAGGTCAAATGCCTCTTCCAAAATTTAAGAGCCAGGGTTCAAATCCTGACAAGACAGCCTCGCGGCAGAGCCCGCACCAACTCTAAGCCATCAGTTGTCACCACGGGTCCTGCTTGTGAGTTCACAGCAATGGGACTCCTTTCCCGGTAGCCTGCCAGCTCCTTCAGGGTAGAAATCACTTCTACTCAGCTTGTGTATATGCGTGTGTATAAATACACACACACACAGACACACACACACACACACACACACACACACACACCATAACCACAAGACAGGGCACATAACAAGTATTTAATGAATCCTTAATGTCTCACGTGAATTAACTGCCCTCACTTTTCTCTTATTTTGTTCCCATCTTACAGGTGGGAAACCATCTATTATGTTTGTCCCATTTTAGAGGAAAGAGGCTACCTCGCCCCTGCAAATAGGTTTCAGGACTCAACAAAAAATAAAAAGCAAGTTCGCTTGGAATAAAATGCGGGAAGTTGTATCTGAGAATAAGGTCTTCCTAACCAAAGAGTTCAAACACTCAGGAGGAAGTTTAGGGGGAAAGGTGGGGAAATCGATTTGAGGCCATCCCACCAATGATTGCCAACAAATTGCCTGCTGAAAGCCAAAGTCCAAGGAGCTTCTCTCCTGCAAGGTTTTGACAAGAACCTGTTTCAACCGTGATGCCACTAGAACCACATGCAAAACATTAAAAATACACGGATGCCCAGGTCCCGCCCCTGAGGCTGATTTCTCTCAGTCCAGGGTGGGCTCCAGCACATCAGTATCTTTTAAAAGCTCTCAAGTGGTTCTAACACTTAGTCAGAGCTGAGCCCCGACACACTGCACTCAGAGAAGGAAGGCTTTGTCAGGAGAGAAACTGAAAGAATGTTCCAAAACCGCAGCCCAGAGAACTGAGCCTCACCTGGGAGTGGGGTGTTGCATTCTTAATAAGTCTCTCAGGGCACCTCTGCAAGCAGAAGGCGTGTTGGTGGGTGGGTGGCATCCTGGGCACTGAGAAGGCAGAGAGGTAAGTCTACGGTAGGGAGAAGGCAGCGGCAGGTGAAGACTGTCCGAAAATCAGCCACTCACCAGCTACGAGGTCAACCAGGCCATCAGCGGCTGCCCCGCAGGAAGGCTCGTGCTCCCGGCCACACTCCGGTGTGCCCGGTGACAGCAGTCCCACAGCGGGAATGCCAGGGCACACTACAAGACAACGACAACGTCTGCAGTATTCATCACTGGCCCCCCTGTGCCCACCTGGCACATTGGTGGCTCTTGATGAACATTTGTCAAATGAGTCAAGAAACTGGAACGACTTGCAGGCGAGGATGGTCAACGAATTCTCAGAACGTCCACAGGAGGAGAAGAGCTCAGACACGGAGGCCACGGATACTCTCAAAACACTAGTGACGACTCATTTCAAATAACAAGCATTTCATCAGAGCAATGAAGAGCTAACCGCACTCTGCATTTTATTCATGGTGACCAGGATTATATAAAATGGTTGTATTCACAATCCAACCTAAGCTTCAGAGTAATGTAAAAAGGCGCCTGGTTGGCTCAGTCGGGTAAGCAGCTGACTTGGGCTCAGGTCATGATCCTGAGGTTCATGAGTTTGAGCCCTGCGTCAGGCTCTGTGCTGACAGCTCGGAGCCTGGAGCCTGCTTCGGATTCTGTGTCTCCCTCTCTCTCTCTGCCCCTTCCCTGCTTGCGTTCTCTCTCTCAAAATTAAATAAATAAACAAACATTTTTAAAAAATTAAGGCAGGGGCGCCTGGGTGGCTTAGTCAGTTGAGCGTCCGACTTCGGCTCAGGTCATGATCTCACAGTTTGTGGGCTCGAGCCCCGCGTCAGGCTCTGTGCTGACAGCTGGCTCAGAGCCTGGAGGTGTTTCAGATTCTGTGTCTCCCTCTCTCTCTGACCCTCCCTTGTTCATGCTGTGTGTCTCTCTCTCTCTCAGAAATAAATAAAAAAACATTAAAAAAAGTTTAAGGCACAAACTAGTACATGTTAATTTGAATTTTACAGATGAGGGAATTGCAGTCTATAAAGCAATTCTGCCAAGGTCAAATAGTGGGGTAAGTGGTGGGGCTGCCTGATACAGAGTCTGTGCCCTCCCCACTCCACTGCCCCCTGGGTTTGCTGGATAAGGGGCTCACAGCCGCAGGGAGAGTTGGGAGAAAGAGACACAGACATTTACACACTAGATCCTCTGCCCACCCTCTACCCCCAGGTACAGGGAGTAGAAGGCAACAAGATGACCTTGTGGTGATTTGAGGGAGCGACTAGTTAGTCCTACCAGCCCCCCTAGATTTCGGAGATCAAGATGAGGTCGCTGAGCTCATCCAGTTGATTCCCCTTCTCTAGGGAACCCCAAGAGCCATTCCAAGGATGAGGGAACCAAGTCCTAAGCAAGACTGGGGAGAAGTGTCCCCCACCTTGCTCAGGTCGGCCACCTCCCCACAGGAAGAATCAACACCGCTTGACGCCACTTGATACTGGATCCTTGGAGCACACCTCTTGTAACCTGTCAATCCAGCTCCACCCAGATCTTAAGTGTATTTCAAGAACTAACTCATTCCCCACTTTGTCCGTGGAGACGGACCACTCAGGTGTCTCTCCCACAAGCAAACATTTCATCTCTTCTTACTGGGCATTTGTGATGTCCGATCATACTCATTAACCTCTGTCCATGTTTGTCTTCCTCTCACACTGTGCTGCTCCCCGAGGGCAGGCACCATGGCCCACATGTCCTTGCCTTGCTCAAGGTTACCTGGGATAGCACTCCTTGCAGGAAAGATGCTTAAATAAATATGTGTTGATGAAGGCATAAACTTCACTAGGGCAACGCACTGGAAAGTGCTCAGATCTGAGCTTTAAACCCAAGTACATTTTCAAGCTGCCTTATTAGAGACAAGGTCATCCTTGAAGACACCTCTAAACAGGTATGTTTCAGGTACTTACTAGGTAAGTGCATATAACGCACCGAATAAGTGCACTTGAAATGTAGTGTGCTCTTAGTAAATGTTGGCTCTCTCTCCCCAACCACCCTACCTGAAACCGATGACACCAAACGGCCTGCTAGGTTACAGGCTGAGTTGACAAATGTCCTTTGCATCCCAAAGCTCAGAGATCCTGCTTCAGGAGGCTCAAGCCTTGAGCAACAGATGAAAACGCAAGGTGATCTCTGACTCTGACAGTCCTGAAATGAGGTTTGGGAGACAGTGAGATGCTAACAAACTGGAAATCAGAATTATTTCAAGAACCACTTCCAACCCAAAGGTTTGACCTCAGAGGGTCCTGAAGACTGTCTACCACTTTGTCACCGCAGAAAGGTGAGTGTTCGACCCTGAAGCATCACCAACCCAGAAAGCCCTGGTTTAACACCCCAGCGTTAGGGGTCTGGCCTGTTCTAAACCAAATGGGAGGAGACAGGGGCTCACTTGGTCGGGCCCGGACCAGCAGGCTCACATCCCCTTTACGTGTTGGCAAATTCCTTAACTGGCCATGAGGAGGCCACCCTGTATTACCCATTGAGTCCATGGCTTTTTATAACATGACCAATGTGTGCAGCTCACGATAAAAACAAGCTCTGTATCTATGTGAAGGGGGGTATGTGTGTGTCTACATGTCCTTGGAAGGATCATTAATGACTGAACAAGAACTCATTGCATATTCTTTCCAGAGCAGCCTTGGGACACTTTCCAATCTGAGGGAAAAGGCAGAAACTCTGCTTCTCCTATGGGGCAGGTGAGTTTTCTCCCCACCTGTCAGACGACCGTCCACAGTGACTGCCCTTCATTCCCTCAGATGTACCCTGCGTGTGGTAATTCTTGCCTCGCAGGTGGCGGCACGTGCCTGCTGCCACACCCATGGGCACCCCCGGTCCCCTCCCCGCCCTTGGGTAGAGACCAAGTCTAGGTGGCCACAAGCAAAAATGAAAAAGAGCTGAAAGTGCTGCAAACGGCATTTGCCCATGTCCCTTTGAAGTCCCTCCTTCGGTGTAACACTGCCACCGACATCACATGGGGCTGTCTGACCCCTTCATGTGTGAGTGCCCTCAGTTTCCAGCCGCCGTGAGTTCATTTGGAGCAGTTTTTGCAAGCTCCCTGCCTCTTTTATCCCTGTTTTACAGCTGAAGCACAATGACATGTCCAAGGTCAAAGAGCTCGTCTCTGGCAGAGCTGGGGTGCAAGACTCATTGGGCCCAAAGCCATCCTTTGGCCCCTGTTTTGCTCCGCCCCTTTTTAAAGCAGACTTGCTCCCCTGCGACTTGGGAGACCCTAGGGGGCTCAGTCGGTTAAGCGTCTGACTTCGGCTCAGGTCATGATCTCTCGGTTCCCGAGATCGAGCCCCATGTCGGGCTCTGTGCTGACAGCCCAGAGCCTGGAGTCTGCTTCCGATTCTGTGTCTCCCTCCCTCACTGCCCCTCCCCCACTTGCACTCTGTGTGTGTCTCTCTCAAAAACAAACATTTTAAAAAATAAGAAAAGAAAACAGATGCTTGTGAACTTGCATAGGATCCAGTGAGTCCAAATCCAACCCCATCAAGTGAGTGAGAGAGCCCCAAGGAGACTGCTCCGGGCCCCCTGAGCAGATCGATGGCCCCGGCACCATGGCAACACTCAAACAACGCCCCCCCTCCCCTCCCCGCCACTGCCTCCTGTGATCAGCTCACCTAGGTAACAAAGGTGAGCCCCGTCCCAACAGGTGAACACTGGGGCCAGGAAAGGTGGCTGTTCCTTTGGGACCAGGGCCCTCCTCCTTCGCAAAGAGCCAACCAGACAACGAAGAGGGTGTCCACGTGACTACTGCGCATTTACACGACAGTCATCCCAGAGGAGCATCGGTGCAGACCCCAGACCCCTGAGCCCATAGGCTCTCATGGTCTCCTGAGGCCAGGCCTGCTGCGTGCCTTCATTTAATTGTGTATTTTTATCGTTTGATCTGTCGCCGGATGCCTGTGGGCAGTTAATGCCCTTCTCCATCAGCTCGAGCAAGAAAACATACCTGCCACGGCAGTGTTGGCTTCACTGGGCTGCTGACTTATTTTAAGAACTAAATCTTTCCTGTTACTATATTTTTCACTCCGGGGTGTGCGCGCTCCAGCACTGACATTAGCAAAGGACGTCCGGGGCCGAGCTCGCCTCGGCAGTGAGAGCGGAGCGCCACCTAGCGCCCACTCGCTCCACCGCAGCCCAAATCAATCACCGCGGTAACCTTGACAGCGTTCTGCGCCCTTCCGGAGACTTTTTACACGCATTCTCCGCTCCTCACGTATCAGAGCTGGCCTAGCGGTGTGAGACTTAGCTTAGTTTTTAAAGATAAGTAAGTTAAGACACAAGGCTCCAGCGAGAAAGCTGAGTAAGTTTTCCACTTGCCAGCTCAGTGTCGTACTTTCCAACTTTGGCGGCTGTCATTTATAAATGATGAGCTCATGCGAGAGGACACCTGGTGTAACTCCCAGGTGCCCAGAGCACATCCGTGGAGAAAGACAGCCCTCCCGTGGGACCTGATGCAATCGTCTTGGTGTTATTTGAGTCTTTCATGCCAGCGTCAAGACGCTTTAGGTGCAAGATTAGCCTCACAGCACCTTTCGGGGGCATAAACGCCGGTGTTATTAGTGCCTGCAAGTTACCACAGGCTGTCGTTTGCAAAGAAGGAGAAAGTCCAGCCTCCGTGGGGACTGCAAGCAGAGATGGAGCTGTTTACTCTCCCCGGAACTCACCACTCCCCTGCCTCCTCACGAGTGCAAGAGCCAAGAATTATCATCCTAATATCGCCCAACAGCTCTGGCCTTCAAACTCCCAATTATTTTCAGATACCCAGAGCACGGCTTTTTGTCCTTGGTGCCACTAGGCTGGATAACTCTTTGCGGGCAGGGGTGGGGTGACCTGTCATGCACACTGCAAATGTCTAGTAGCATCTTTGACCGATACCCACTAGATGCCAGTAGCATCCCTCTCCCCACCCATTATAAAATATCTCTAGACACTGCCAAATGCTCCCTGGGGGTGCGAAATCACCTTGCTACAGAACCACCATTCTAGAAGGCAAGTAAACCAGAATATAAACAGCATACTAATAACAACTCCTATTACTGCTACCACTTACTTAAAAGGCACAAACGACATTATTCTATTTAATCTTCACAATCAAGAAACCAATCTGTGTTGACTCTCTAAGGAAATCTTTACATTACAGATAAAGATACCAAAGCTCAGAGAGGTTAAGGAACATGGCCAAGGTCACACAGCTGGTAGTGGAAGAGTTACCACTAAAAACTAGGCTTTTGTGCAGAACCTAAGCTTGTCATCAGATCCTGGGACCACAGATCACAAATATTTGCAGAACAGTCCTCTTGACAATCCTTCCACAGTATGCTAACACTGTTCAAATAGTAAGTCTAGATTTATGTTTAAAGACATAAACGTGGTAGCCATTCTCTGTAAGAACACCAGTTCTAAGTGTTAGAGCCAAGGAGATTTGGCTGTAGGGTGATAGTGACGGCCCTTGATCCAAGTTCAGACCCAGGGGCCAATAATTGACTATAGGGTCTTTATTTGGAGTCAATTATCTGAGCTCTCCAAGTCCCTGCATATTCACCTACAAGATAAAAAGTTCTCAGGCTCTCAGGCTCAGATTCTCAGATGTGGCTGCAGAATTTATGGGGCTCGAGCAATGACATTTGTTAAAGCCCCCACATAACTAATGTGCAGCCAGAACTGAGACCCACGGGCCTGGATGAACTGTAAGACTCTCGAGTTCTGCATTTCCGCCCCAGACTGGATGGCTTCTTTCGTCCCTTCCCACCAGGATCAGAGGGACACACAAGAGCTCTTTGGGGAGAGTTTGGTGGTCTCATAAGACTGTCCCAAAAGCCTTGAACAACTTCCTGAGATGCCGTCAGTGTCTCAACTGCCATCCAGTCTCTGAATTAACCATTTTAAGTATCATTCTACCCACCAAAAGTACCCACTCTCCTAATGGCTGTTGGGGGTTAGAAACTCCTCCAGCACACCGCAGGGAGCGGGGAAAATGACAGAAGACAGCTGCTGCAATGAAAGACTATCCTCTCCCCCGCCTCGCTGAGCCCTTGCCCTGTCTGACTTTAATAAGGTTCATTCTAATCCGTGGTCTTTCAAGAGGTGAGAGAATCTCCCGTTTCTGGGCATGACTCACCCACTCCCAGAGGAGAGTGGTAACGTCTCACTCAGCAGGTGCTGGAGAAGAGCTCTGGCTACAGAAAAGGGGCTTCGGGCCCTATGAACCCCATGCTCTTCATCCCCTAGGTACAACTAATAATAAAAGTAATTTATATCAAGGCACCTGGGTGGCTCAGTCGGTTGGGCGTCAGACTTCACTCAGGTCATGATCTTGAAGTTTATGAATTCCAAACCCGCAGCGGGCTCTGTGCTGACAGCTCAGGGCCTGGAGCCTAGTTCAGATTCTGTGTCTCCCCTCCTCTCCGTTCCTCCCCTGCTTGGGCTTTCTCTCTCTCAACAATAAATATTAAAAAAAAAATTTTTTTTTAAAGTAATTGATATCGATTAAGTAGTCCCCAGATGCCAGGTTCTGGGTGAAGTGCTTACACACACCAGTTCCTATACTCTTCCCAGGTACCCGCATGAGATGGTATTCTTGTTCACATTATTTTTACCATCTTCCTCATCGTCCCATTTTACAGGCGAGGAAACCAAGCCGTCTGTATTCGCTGCTCATGCTCCCGGCCGTGGGCCCCATGGATCCAATACAGCCCCGCTCAGACTCCGGAAGGCAGGCCCCTTTCTTTCTGCTCCTCTCGTTTTAGGGTCTCCGCGGGAGAGACTCCAGTGCGTTATCAGCAGATGGGAGTGAGGGGTGGGCCTGGGTGGCTCAGCGGGTTCAGCCTCTGACTCTGGATTCTGGCTGAGCTCATGACCTCACAGGTTTGTAGGGCCGAGCCCTGCGTGGGCTGCTCAGGATTCTCTCTCTCTCTCTGTCCCTCCCCCCTCAAAATAAATACACATTAAAAAGGGGGGGGGGGGACTGATGGGAAGGGCCCAGTGACCGGGATGTTCCAGGGATCGCAGTCTCTGGGGCCAGCGGTACAGCCCCTGCGCCCCCGTCCGAAGGAAGGCGAGAAAGCAGACGGGGACCGCGAGGGTCTGGGGGGCAGTTCCTGAAGGGGAGGCGAGGCCCCCTGCGTCACCGTCTGCCCCCGCGAGCACCCTGGGCAGCACCACCCTGCCGCCGCTCCGGACAGGTGCAGCCTCGGGGGTGCCGTTACACCGGTGCGGCCAGCAGGGGGCAGAGCTGGGCTGGGCACCAGGGCCCTCTGAGGCTGAAACCCGAGCGCCTCCCGCGGTGCGGCGTCACCCTCTGCAGTTCCGCGGGAGGCGGCCGGGACCAGGTGTCCCCAGGTGTCCCCGGATTCGAACTGAGATCCGCCAGACCCCAAAGCCCAAGATCTTGCCCCTGCTCGCCGGCCCCCTCGAGTGTGGTCTGGAAGGCTGGGCGGAGCGGAGCCCACCAAATGGGACTCTGAGCTACTAATTCATTCTGCAAGCCAGGTATCAAAGGCGGGGCGGGGTGGTGGGGGGACTGGGGGTGCATTTCCCCGATCCCTTTCCTCAGTCTCCCCCCACCCCCAGAACAACCTGAACAGCAGCAGCAGCCCCGTCGCACTGCGAAGCGGCGGAGCCCCCGACCCAAGGCTGTCCCTGCACCGCAGGCGCACATTATCTCCGGTCCGTCTCTCTCTCTCTCTAAACATTAAAAAAAAAAAAAAATTTTTTTTTAAAGAAAAGAAACACGAGGAGAAGCCGGCCATCTACAAGTGCCAAGGAGAGAGGCTGGGACGGATCCTCCCTCGAACCTTCCAAAGGAAACAGCCCTGCGCCACCTTGAATCGGACCCACGGCGCCCAGGACCCTGAGACAGCACATCCTGTGCCGTGTGTGGGGCTTTGTCAGGCAGCCCCAAAACCAGACCGCGCTCCGGGTCCCCTCTGAAATGGGGACTAAGCCAGCCCTTGATGCACCTGGGAAGATGACGCGAGGCGCTGAAATCACGCCCAGACGTTCCATGGGGGAGAAGCCATGTGAAATGAGAAATGGGGGTGCCAGTTAGGGGAGCCTGGGGGAGAGGGAAAGTTAGTTTACAAAAAAAAGAAAGAAAGAAAGAAAGAAAGAAAGAAAGAAAGAAAGAAAGAAAGAAAAGAAAGAAAGAAAGAAAGAAAGAAAGAAAGAAAGAAAGAAAGAAAGAAAGAAAGAAAGAAAGAAAAAAGAAAAGAAAAAGAAACTGAGGAGTTTGGCCTTTATCCTGGTACAAGAGGAAACTTCTGGAGGGTCCCAGAGCAGAGGAGGAACGAAGGCCACGCATTAGGACAGTGAACCTCAGAGCAAAGGGCAGAGGAAGCATAACAATTAAGAAAAGCCGACAGGCCAAGGAGACACAAGGTGTTACCAAAACTCCAGCTTGGATGGAGAGGCAGTGGAAGTAGAGGGGAGAGGAGAAGCCGTCTCCCCCAAGCACTTGCCTGATGCCTCCTGGCTTAGGACCTCAACATAGATGTCATTCATTCACACATTTACTGAGCACCTACTATGTGCTACACACTAGTCTAGGTGCTGGGAATACAGTGGGGAATAAAACAAAAACCTTTGGCCACAAAGAACTGACACGCTAACAGGGAGAGACAGAAATGAAGTAAAAAGTACATTATCTAACGGGAAAGAAGGTTAACACGTTAGTGGGTGAAAGGGACAGGATAAGGAGGAGGGAGTGGTTTCGAAGAGAGGGTCGGGAAGGGTTTTGTCGAGTAAGTGAACAGTGAGCAGACCCTTGAGGGAGGTAAGGGAGCGAGGCCGGCAGCGCTCTGGGCCAAATGACCTCGTTCTCTCCTTCACGCAGGAACGAGTCATGCTGTGACCATAACTTCATTCCTTCCAAAGTTCACGAAGCAAAAAAGAATGAGGTACAGTTTCACGATCACAATCATTAAAAAAAGATCAGGGACAGAATTTTATTTATTCACTCTACCTCTGAAGTCTAGAGGTAGGTGAGTACTCAATAAACACTGTTAAATCAATTAATTCACCCATAATCAATAGCTTAATTTATGATCAGC